TGAATTACAGTAGCAATGTGTAGTATGATGTTTGCTCAAAAGATGGTGTTAATCAAATGAATGCTAGCTTCATTCATTGTATTACAATTTTAATAGTTTTTTCCTTTCTTAAAATGTGTATATATTTTTTTGGCACCCTCTCTGTATAAGGTATTTTAACAGTGCCTGACACATAGTTAGTGCTCTGTTAGCTATCTGATTTTGACTTTAATGGCCACATAATATTTTATCACATGGATAGACCATAGTTTATTTTGCCATTCTCCTAGATGTTTTCCAGTTTTTCCAGTATTCTAAGAAATGCACTGATAACCATCCTTGAAGTTGAATATTTGTTCACATCCAGAAGGATTTTATCAGGTAATGTGTTTTGCAAATTAGAACAATCATTAAAATCATTAGGAAGGCTTTTAAAAGTCCAGAATTCTTGGGCCCCACCCGAGACCTATTGAAACCAAGGTAAGAGTGGCTTTCATTTATTGAATGCCTATTATGTGCCAACCACAATACCAGGAATTGTACACATTTTATGCATTCCTATGATAGCCACAAGATATAGGTTATAATTTATTATTCTTTCTTCAGAAGAGATATATAAAACCCACCTCCACCCTCACCTGATGTTAAGTAACTTGCCCTAAGTCACACAGGCAGAAATGGAAAAGCTAACATTTAAACTTGGGTCTGACTTCAAAGCCCCTTCTGCACTGTGCCTCAAAGTTAAGTATAAAACATGTAGTTTATGAACTGAGGGATGATTAAATCATTCTTTTATAAATTAGATTAAGAGATACTTCAATTTTCAGTTTCTGGGAATAAGAAAGGTAGGTAATTGAAAAAATTGTAATTATTTTTATGGAATTAGCTATCTTTAAATGATCTTTTCTAAAGGTTTATATCTTATGAGTTTCTAACTGAATCTTTTAATCTTGTCCATTAAAAATTATGTCTTTTCTGGGCCGGCCGAGTGGCGTGTTGGTTAAGAACTGGCTTGGGACGCCAGAGGGCCCCGGTTCAGATCCCACATATGAGGGCCAGTGACACTGCCCTCTACAGC